ATTTACAGCCGGTATCGTTACGATACATAATTTTAATGAATACGCTTAAATCGTAAATTTAATGTTCATAACCCGAAACGAAAAATGTAGCCGGTTAAAGAGCTTATAGTATTTGGATCGGAATTACTTTTAGAGCGTAATAGCCTGTCGTTAATTCGAATACAGACCGGCAAATGAGTCGTCCAATACGTTGTTTCAGTATTATAAACTATAACGTACACGCTTTAGGCGAATCTGAACGTAAAATCAGTTTCAAAGAACCACATGGGTAATCCCAATCCTGCCTAAAAATTCCTATAAAAACATGATTTGAGCTAACCAAAAATAAAACAAGAGGTTTTGCCACTAAAAACGCTTCATCTTGCTCAAGTGACCATAATACATCGCTCTAAACCACTTTAAAAGCCTAACTAACCCTTGTCGGCAACTATAAGATGACGTGTCAGCGTTGTGACAGCGTCAGAGAAAGCAATCCGAGCCAATTCCTATTAAAGTTTGAACGCGGTTTTTCTCACAAGGGAGAAACATAGAATGGTTTCTGCCATGTTTAGACGCCTTACCAAACAATAGAATATCATAGAATATCATTAAGCAACCGCTGAGTTAATCTCGTACCTTGTGGATAGCGAGAGACTCGATTTTCTAAAGTGCGTCTATATTTAATAACACCTCTTAGATGGAATATATTCCGCTTCGGATAACAGATTGTTGGAAACGGGAATCGGGTGCTTTTTCTATCGATTCTTAATTTGGTCAATTAGCGATTTTTAACTTAAAATAAGTGAATGCAATCGAGGGGGTGCGGGTATAGCTCTATCCTTTCTAATCTTTGGGTTAAAACCTCATCGAAAACCGCTTGCAATGTCCTTTCAGTTAAATAAATCCTAAACCGTAGTCCTAAATCGGCTATTTATTTCTGGTCAATTTTGGACAGATGTGGACATGACCTTACCTAAGTGTCTAAAACGGCGATGGCGATTTAGAACTCATCGCGTGAAGTTATGAAATTTTTTGCGTACTTACACGCGAAGACCTCCGTTGAGCGAATACTTGAGCGAGGCAGTATATCTCATCGGCAGTTCCTGCAGGATGCTTGTTGCAAATGTCCTATCTCCTCAATTTATCCCAGGGAGTATTTTGATCACCAAATAGGTGCGAGCAGGAGCTCTGCAAATTTTTTAGCCACGCACAGCCCGCGTACCGGCATCACAGTTTACGCTCTCCAGTACGTAATTAGCATTCTGCAATGAGGCGGCGTCGCGAGTCCGAGGCATCGAGGGCACTGCGCTGGAGACACGCGATGCTGGGCGTACTCGTTCTCACCAGCGTGCTGTATGCCGGATTTATAGTCAGTTGGACGCTTCAGAGTCCGGTGGCCACAAGGCAAAACGGCACAAGGGCAGAACTGGAGAGCAACAATGAGAGCGAGGCATACGACAACAAGTTGCGTCGAGGCAGGCCTTCATCAACCCAGAGAAAGAAGCTATTCAGCGACAATGTGCCTCAAGATGTCGTCATGGACTTACCTTCCAACTCGTCAAAGGTTCGCCGTCTAAAGTGTTTGGGATGGAGAGCAATAGCGGAATGCAGACTAAATGGGAGTCGTCTACCTCAATACGACCGGGACTGTAACAGCACGATCTCGGATGGCACACCGGGATACTGTGAGGTTGAGGACCTGGACTCCAACGAGAGATTCATGGTCATGAAGCGCACATGCGATAAAGGACACAAGGATACTGTGTTTCAGTGTATTCATGC